AACGAACCAAATCGACCACTTACTTTGGAATTGTTATTTCTTTATAGTCGATTTTTTGCGGTAGCCCAACAATAGTACCGTCGATACAATAATCACTCGACATTGCCGCATCAACATCGGTAATGTTCTGATGATTATGATTGAGTGCTGATGCCATACCGAAGCCTCCTGTTGACGAGCACGCATACGCTGCGTTGTTGTTATTAGCGTTATTACCATACAACACCTTATTTTTACGCTGCATCCTCTCTCCGTATCGTTTGTAATCCAGCGATCTGCGCACTAAACGACTTCCGGCATGTTTCAACAACGAAACTCGTCGTCGATTGCTGCTCGACTGAAACTTTGCTGCATTCATACAAACCTCACCGAATCATTACCGTTACTATGAATATTACCATTATAACTATCATCAGCATTATTTTTGGCTAAACTAACAGATACCGATATGGCCATCGGTTCCGCATATTCGAACGATAGCTTCCGAATAAGGCAAAAAGTTATTTTTAATAGTACGCTACTCCTTCTTCAAGCTATCTTTAACAGCTAAAGCTGCACAAAAATGGCAGCGTGATAAGGGATAATAATTGAACGAACGTATATACAATTACAAAACGTACACAACTATTACGACGTGCCTTCCTCAGCGGGCTGTAGGAATGATCTCGAATCGACGAGTTGTTTGTGGCATCTCGCTTTCGCTTTCTCGATTCATCGCTCATTTTCGATGCTTGCTTAGTCTGCAGATATGTAATCCACGGTGCCTGCTCCCAACTGAAAACGTTTAAGTTTCAAATTGCGACTCAACTGAATACCTTTCTGAAGATCCGATCACAAGCTAATGGAAAATTTTCTAACTGACTAATCAGATCAAATAGTTTCCCAAAATAAACAACAAAAAAAAAACAATTCCAAAAAAACTTCATTTGATACCTCGTTCGATTGAAATAGGCTGGTCGCATTGATTTACGACGATAATAAACGTCAATACGGCGTCGGAGGGGAATTGCTTAAAAAAAAAGTATCGTCAAAACGTCATTTCATCTCATATTTCGAATTTTTAGCATTTTGTGAATTATTTACAGATTTTCAGAAAACGCTTTTATTTATTTTTGTAACGCAACGATTACCGAAAATGACTGACAATTCTCATTAAATTCAAATCAATGCACGATGAGGACTGAAAAATTGCGCCCACATGGGCAAGAAGTCAAAACAATTATAGACACATCAAACCAATTACTCTAATCAGTCAAAGAACCTGAATTTCTTAGGTTTCTTGATAATGCAGAGATGACGACAGCATCTAACAAAGTGCTTCAGAAACGATCACAGATAACCTCTTAACTGAACATAAATAATAAAGAGTGACTTACCTCCTAAAGACGACATATCTTTACTGACACGATCATCAACAGAAGCGTATGCGGGAATGCGATCTGCAGCGTTCATTGTTTCCGCGATTATCTCTTCATTACCCTTCTCCGGACGTCTGCAATTACATAAACGCACATGCATAACAGAACATAACCCATGTGAATTCATTTCATTCATAATTACAAGGTGTTGATACATTTTTCCGTAAATGTATTAACCGATCGTTTCAAATTTGTAAGATCATTTTCGAGTTTTCAGTTTTT